ATTATTTATATATATATAAATAATAATCTGAATAAGCTGAATGTCATAATTAATTGCTTGTTAAAGGAGACCACACATTTCACACATATCAGTGACACAACAGTCTTGCTTTGTTAAGTCTGAGAAGATAACCCCTGTTGAACATAATCAGGGTTATGCTGTGTAAAATATTTGGGTTTAGTGACTATAAATTTAATACAGAAAATCTGTGTTACAATCGTGTGATGAAAATTTAATTTTTACATTTATTTATAAAACAGGGACAGTCTAACTAAAGGACACTCTAATGTTGCATTATAGAAATGTATGGATCTTGAACCATACTTGATTAAGGATACTGTCTTGGCCTTTGTTTGTTCTGTGTTTTGCGAATCGTCCCACTTTATGGGAGTGAAATACAAAATCACTGACCAGCTCCTTTTTAAATGGATGTGTTTCCCCTCAAAAAAATGTAATTTTCAGGCACACAAAATGAAAACTGAAAAATGTTTAGCTCATTATCACTTATATTTTCCTCAAGGCTGTGCTCACTTCCATACCTTGTGATAGCAAGCACAGTGTAATAGCACACTGCTATAGTGTGCATGCTGCAACTGCATGGTTACAGTTTTCATTTTGTGTGAACTGTACTTGTAATAGTACAGTTTAATGTTCTGAAGATTTTTATAAGGAAATCCTAATATTGCTTCTACTCAAGCAGAAAATCTGATATTTGGGAATAGTCTTAGTGGCCTTTTTAGGATGCTGTTGGCTACTTGTAGGGAGTAGGGTGGCAGGGCAGTAGGTTCTGAGCCAGTACATGATGATAAGGAAGGGGGCATCATGTGAGCTAAATCCTGAGTTATATTTAGTGGTCCATGTGTTCTGTGCCTGCACCACATAGTGTGACAGTTAACTTAAGAGGCCACATGCAGTTTGCATGCTAACACTAAAATAACAAACCCAATAGCTGCTTGCACATCAAGCCAGTGCACGAAGACCAGAGCTTGTGCTGCCTCCTTAAAATAAAATTGTGGCCCCGGTCGCTGTGCTGTGTAATGTGCATGTCTTCTCGTGATGCGACAAGTTATCTCTGTGTGGCTCTTTTAGCTTGAGGTCAAGTCTTGCTTTAAAGCTTCTTAGTTGATGCCACAGACATGGCCATGTTTCCTCTAACCTTTTTCCCTTAAAAATAGGTTTAAAGTTGTTTTACATGATATAAAATACATTTACTTGACATTGATGTTTGATAATTTCAAACAGTCTGAACCCAGCCTGACTTTAACAATTGTTAAATAGTGAGAAGATTAAAATAATAGCTAATTAAAATTAAGTCTACCGCAAGTGAACAGCTGTTCAAAGTCAACTTCAACTTCCTTTTATGAGGCTTTTTTTGGGACTGTGCCAGGGGGAGGTGTTGTCTGGTGTCTAATTTCAAACCATGTAATGGATTTTTAAAATGCATTAACTTTATGCCAATATTGTATCACAAAGAGTGCTTTAATGCATCTTGTATAAAAAGACACTGCTAAATTGTGATGCACATTACAGTGGTACAAGGTCAGTTGTCCAGATGCACTCTTACACTCTAACCACATGCGGAATAAAAACTGTCCGTGCGTCATAGTATTTGTCATGACTTCCTCTTCTCTTCTTTGGAAATTTTCATATTAGTGCAACTCCACCTTTTACTCAGTGATCTGTTCTTGCATTGTGATAAGTTCAGTATCTCAGTGTTGTCAGTGTTCCAGATGTGAGCTGTTACTGCCCGACTAACCCACTTCCCATAGAAAGTCTAAATCAGACTTGTATTTTCCAGTGTAATAGAGGGGGTGAATGAAGGAGAGCTGGAGCACTAGTTGCACTGGGTTATTTGCATAGAGATGTGTGGTCCTGTGTAACTCAGTGATGAGAGCATGGTAGTAAAACTGCCTGCTATCGGGATGCAATTCCCACTGGACTCATTTGTACTCAAATTTATGCACCAGTAGGCCTGGAAAGTGGTTTGGAGTATAAAAAATGCTTGTGAAAAAGCAGAACTGGCCACATATTTGGAGTAGAAAATCACCCATTTAAACATAAATGTATTTACTGGCCTCTATTTCATTTTTAACCATTTGTATTAAGCCCTACATGCTCTAAACTGTGTACAGTGTGGCTGAGTGGTCATCATTTCAAAGCATCCACTCTCTTTTGGCCTGTTTATTAAACTAAAGTCACCATGAGCATCTGAGTCACTGTTACACAATCGGCATATGGTAGACAAGAGCAAACCAGTTTAATCCGACCAAACCAGTATTGCTTTAACAGTTAGAATTTCTATGTTCCTGTATTTCTATCCTGTTTGAGGAAATTACTCAGGATCCTTTTTTATTTATATTTATTTATTTTTCTGCCAGAAGAAAAAATCAGTTACTTTGTCATGGATGCATCCACATGCACAATCAAAAATGAGTACATCTGCCGACATTGCAATTCATATTAAGACGTGATGTTATTTGTGTGAACATTAAGTCTTAAGTAAGTAAGGCTTTAGTTGGCATAAAATTGACACACTAATAATAATATACATTCATCAGGTTCACTTCACGATACTGAACACTATGAAATTGTTTTCAGTCTTGTAATAAAATAAAACGTGGTAGCTAGTAATTCATTCCAGACAATTTATCTATCTTTGATGATATTAACAGTTAATTTCAGTCAATTCAATTAAGTCAAATTCATTTATATTCCCCAAATCACAGATTTGCTTCAGAGTAAAACAACCCGAATTGATAACCAAAGAATATGTTCCAAATTGCATAATTAATATCACTCTCCTTCACTTCCAGTCCATGTGACTAATTTTCTTTCCTGTAAGGATCTGTTCCACAATAAACAATTAGCTCAAGTTTAGCCTCTCCTGGAAGCAGAATAAATATTGACATCAGAGCACTTTTCCTTTCTTGGCAACCGAAGTGGTCATCTGAACGTGTCAGACTTTTCCTGGCTGCCATTTAATGATCAAGGGAGTTGTCTGTCAGTGTCTACAGCAGCTTCACTGTCTTTTTTGTCTCACCACAAATTTCAGCCTCTGTCAGATATAAGTAGAAACAACACCAACAGGGTGCGACTGGAGACTGAGCACAAAGTGTCATTTCACCAGGACATCGGTGGCTGATTAGCTTTCAGTCTTTTACAGTTTTCCATGTATGTCTGCTAGGTACCAATGCCATATGACAAAAACGTAATAGTCTGTTTCTTTCTGTGTTTGTCTTTCAGGGATTTAAAATTGGACAATGTGCTTCTTGACAAAGACGGTCACTGTAAGCTGGCAGACTTCGGCATGTGCAAAGAGGGGATATTTGAAGGTGCAGCCACAGGAACTTTTTGTGGCACCCCAGATTACATTGCTCCCGAGGTCAGTTTCTACACTTGTGCTAAACAAACATACAGTAACTTTATACACATACAGTTTAGCACCTATAACTACTAATAATGGCAGATCTTTGGATCATTTATCCACCACACCTGTGATACAGGACAATTAGGAGCTTTTTTAAAGGACCAGTGTGCTCGATTTAGTGGCATCTAGGGGTAAAGTTGCAGTTTTCACCCAACTGAATACCAATCACCTTCCAAGCGTGAAAACACATAGGGCCCTATCTGGAGCCAGTGTTAGGTTTGTCCATTCTGGGCTGCTGTAGAAACATTTAGTTTTTAGATGAGGAACTGCTCTCTGGAAGCAGCTTATTATAAGGTAACGAAAAAAAAATTATACACCAATGAAAACATACCTATAAACATTATATTCTATTTCTGTTAACAGATCCTCCTAAATGTTACACACTGGACCCTAATAGATTGCAGCAAATAATACATTCAGCCACATTTAGCTTCCTGCAGCCCGGGCCTTCTGAGTTCATATGATGCATTTCCCAGTACCATACTCTCTCCATCACACCACCTCACTAAAAACAAACACTGCGGTCAGTGCCCGTCACTCCAAACTCCCTCCTGACTAACTGGAACGCAGCGTACCCGTGAGGTCAGCTTGTGAATGGCGCTGTTGACTCGACGAGCCCTGATCCCCACATCCCTTTACAGGCGTGCTTGGTTTTGAGGGATGAAGATGGTCTGTGTCTATATGTTTTGAGAGATTTTCTTCTCCGACCAAGGCCGTGTGTCTGGATTTATGAAAAGCTCCTTTGCTGTCCTCAACACACGCTCCTCAGTGTAGCCTCACTGGCAGCACACTAATCCAACACAGAGTAGTTTTAAGTTTACTGTTGAGACTCTCTAATGCTCTCTGTGCTGTGATGGTAACCTTTAATGGTATGCTGTGACATGTTTCCACAGATCCTGCAGGAGATGCTGTATGGGCCCTCTGTTGATTGGTGGGCTCTCGGGGTGCTGCTGTATGAGATGCTGTCAGGGCATGCCCCCTTTGAGGCCGAAAATGAAGATGACCTCTTTGAGTCCATCCTCAATGAAGAGATTGTTTATGCGTCTTGGCTCAGCACAGAGGCAGTAAATATACTCAAAGCTGTGAGTCTTTTTGTTTTGTATTCGCAGTAAGTGGTTTATCAAGTGTAACAAAAAAAGTATAATGGATATAGTTGGATGAAAGCCAGGTGTTGCTGCAGTCTTTGTCTTTTTTCAGACATTTAACCTCTCTGTCAGACTTCTTTCACACTTTACAATTGCAGGAAATGTCTATGAAGCTTTTTTTAAACTGAACTAATGATAGAGGAAATCAATGTCTCCCTGGATTTGTGACCGGTGCTGTGGAGAAAAACCAATAAGTCGTGTGAACATTTACTAAAAGAAACTCCCTGCATTCCTGGACAGTGTACCATGAGCCTAGTGTGATGTATTAAGACATCAGAGGGTTGGTTTCTGTAATCAGGGTTTGTTATCTGTTGTCCCTCAGGCTGACTGACACTCTCTGACTGCAGAGTGACTGGCAGCCCTATGGAGCTCTGCCAGCCAGCTGTTTGGCCCAGGTTTCTTACATAACTATATTAAGGCATGGTCCACTGCCCAGCCACAGCACACAAGCTATAAATACGACTACAACTCCCCCCTCCATTCCTTCACTCTTTGCACCCTGTTCACCTCCTCTTATCCTTGTTTTTATGCCAACATGCTTAAGGAAGCGCCGGACCAATCTCCCCTCGTGATTTGTGTCTATTCCCAGTGTCACTTGTTATGTAAAGATGCATTTCGGTGTGAGTGGATTGAACGCTGCTGCACTATTTATACTGTAGGTTGATCCGTTGCAAAGCTCTTCTCGTTCCTATAAACAAGTTCATGGTGTTTACATTTTTTTTTCTTAAGATATTTGTTGGGCTTTTCATGCCTTAATTTGATTTGACAGGTGAAGACAGAGAGGGGGGACAACCTGCAGCAAAGGGCTGCAGGTAGTCGAACCCAGGTCGCCCCGATATTTTTTTATAATTTGGTACGAGCGTCCACTTGGACTCAAAGATGAACTGATTAAAATTTGGTGGTCAAAGGTCAAGGTCACTGTCACAAAACACGTTTTTGGCTGTAACTTTAGAATTGACCATATTTCACAATTTGTCGGACAATGAATTGGAGACACTTGTGACTCATGATTTTGGTCATAACTCAAGAATCGATGCGGTAATTACGACTAAATTTCACACAGATGGTTGATGGGATACAACAATGAAGAGATTACATTTTTTTATCCCAAAGGTCAAAGGTCAGCCTCACTGTGCCATCACAATGTCCTGGAAAAAACGCTTTTGGCCATTATTTAACATTAACATTATGCTTCAGAAACGGAAGGGGAGATTGTGACCATATTTCACAGTTGGTCGGACACCAAATTGGTGACATTCAAAGGTCAAAGGTCATTGTGACCTCCAAAATAGGTTTTTTTCATATCCACATATATTTTATGAGTCTGGACAGACATGAATGTAGACTGCTACTTGACTGGTTGGCAGAGGCATTCATCCACAGGATGGCATTTATATTGAATCGGTTAATTGCTCAGAGCCCAAGATGTTCGCAGATTGCTTCTTTTGTCAAACAAACACCCGAAGATGTTCATATTTACATTGATATAAAACACTTAATCATCACATTGCAGAAGACGGAACCAGAAAATATTTGACATTTTTCAATTCAATTTTATTTGT